CAGCATCGTGGCTCGCTAGAGTACTATCCCGCGGAGCACTCGTACGGGGAATAGACGGAAACAAACCCGCTAACAGGAAGTCGGAACGCTGTCGAACGCACTTCTTATTCTCGTGCACGGCCCATGGCCAAGTTCGTCTTTCCTACCGTTTCAATCGGATGTCCCAAAGGCTTTGACCGGGGTAGCACTCCGCAATCCTACTAGAGGCGGAGGGCCACCGCGCATCTTCCCTTCGCCTGACCCGACCGCAGCCCGCCTGCGAAGAAAAAATAATAACCACAAACCTGTAACGTCGGATTTCTTTAGGGACCAGAAAGTTGTCAACACCTGGACAGTCCCGTAGGCCGGGTCCGTCGTCGCCCTTATCAGCAAAAGCTGAGGGGGATAGCCCTGGCGGCCCTCTACCCCTCAGCCCTCGCCTCGCTACTCCGTTGCGCCGCTGCTTCCGCATTGCCGCCTGTTGGCCTCGATCCCCGAACCTCCGCTGCAACAATCCGACACCGTAATCCATAGGGCTAAGCCCCAGCCTAGGATCAGTGGGCGCCGCATCCATATAAAGTGGTGCAGCCCGACGCCTAAGGCTGGGACACGCCCGCAGGCTCACCCCCGCCTATAGACGTTGCGCATCCATGCCGTCCTACGTACCACCCCACCTACCAGCCCTGCAGCTGGCCGCCACGGCGAACGAGGGTCCGCCCCCTAATTCCCAACCTAGTCACAGGTGCCAGGTCAAGCCGGACGTCTATGCCGTCCGTATAATCAAAGAGGCAAAATCACATGCGCGCCTTGAAACCACGCGCCCACTCATCCTATCGCCCTTACGCGGGTCGCCGTTTAAACACACAAGCCTAGACCGACGATCCTCCTGTCATTTGCAAAAACCAGGGCGAATACCTTTGTAAGGGTATTCACGCCGACACCGGCCGCCTGCCCGCCACCCACCCGCCCACCCACCCACCCACACCGCCCACCCACCCACCCACCCACCAACCCAGTCCGGCCGCCCGCCCACTCACATCCACCGACCCAGCCCGGCC